GTGTGTGTCTCTGTGCTTGTGTCTGTGTGTGGGTTTCTATGTGTGTCCCTGTGTGTCTCTGTGTGTGTCTGTGTGTGTCTATGTGTGTTTCTGTGTGTGTGTGTCTCTGTGTGTCTCTGTGTGTGTCTATGTGTGTGTCTCTGTGTGTGTGTGTCTTTGTGTGTCTCTGTGTGTGTCTCTCTGTGTCTCTGTGTGTTTCTGTTTCTCTCTGTGTGTCTCTGTGTGTGTGTCTCTGCGTGTCTCTGTGTGTGTCTGTGTGTGTGTCTCTGTGTCCCTGCGTGTGTCTATGTGTGTCTATGTGTGTGTCTCTGTGTGTCTGTGTGTGTCCCTGTGTGTGTCTCTGTGTGTCCCTGTGTGTGTCTCTTTGTGTGTGTCCCTGTGTGTGTCTGTGTGTGTCCCTGTGTGTGTTACCTTGCTGTGGGCGTACACCACTGATCCCAGCAGCTTCCAGGTTCCTCCCCTCCGGTCCATCCGGATCATCCTCAGGATCTGCAGGAACCGCAGCGATCTGATGGCCGACGTGGCGAACACGTTCCCCTGGGTCCCCGCCGCCAGCACCGAGATGGAGGCGATCAGGACCATGATGTCTGTTTAGGCACAGGAGGAAAAAAGTTAAAGCCTGAGTGTGTGTGTGTGTGTGTGGATGGAGGAGGTTTCAGCCGGAAGGAACCAGCAGTTCCCAACCTAAAGAACCTTCAGCAACCCCAAAACCATAAATACCCAAAACCTTAAATACCCAAAACATTTAACACCCCAAAACCATAAATACCCCAAAACCATAAATACCCAAAACTTTAAACACCCAAAACCATAAATACCGAAAACCTTAAATACCCAAAATATTTAACACCCCAAAACCATAAATAACCAAAACATTTAACACCCCAAAACCATAAATACACAAAACCTTAAATACCCAAAACATTTAACACCCCCAAACTCTGAATACCCAAAACCTTAAACACCTAAAACTTAAAACACCCCAAAACCATAAATTCCCAAAACATTAAGCACATCAAAACCATAAATACCCAAAACCGTAAATACCCAAAACCTGAAACACCCCAAAACTATAGATACCCAAAACCTTTAACACACAAAACTTAAAACACCCCCATACCATAAATACCCCAAACCTTACACATCCTAAAACCATAAATACCCAAAACCATAAATACCCAAAACCTTACACACACCAAAACTTTAAACACCCCAAAACCATAAATACCCAAAACTTTAAGCACGCCAAAACTATAAATACCCAAAACCTTAAACATCCAAAACCTTAAATAGCCAAAACATTTAACACCCCAAAACCATAAATACCCCAAACTTTAAGCACCCCAAAACTATAAATACCCAAAACCATAAATACCCAAAACCATAAACACCCCAGAACCAAAAGAAACCCAAACTTTAAACACCCCAGAGCCATAAATACCCAAAAACCATAAATACCTAAAACCTTCTGCACCTCAAAACTATAAATATCCAAGACATTAAACATCCAAAACTTTAAACACCCCAAAACCATAAATACCCAAAACCTTACACACCTCAAAACCATAAATACCCAAAACCTTAAACCACCCAAAACCATAAATACCCAAAACTTTAAACACCCCAAAACCATAAATACCCAAAACCATAAACACACAAAACCACAAACACCCAAAACCTAAACCCCCCAAAACCATAAATAGCCAAAACCATAAATACCCCAAAAAGCATAAATACCCAAAACCTTAAACACCCCAAAACCATAAATACCCCAAACCATAAAAAACCCAAACTTTAAACATGCCAAAACTATAAATACCCAAAACCTTACACACCCTAAAACTATGAATACCCCAAAACATTACACACACCAAAACTTTAAACACCCAAAAACCATAAACACCCAAAACCACAAACACCCCAAAACCTTAAAGGGAAGCGACAGCCAGGGACCCAACCCTCTGAATCCCTGGACGTCGGCCATCTTGAAAACTTACCGATGACACAAAATGGCTTCCTGGCGAACTTGAGTCTTCCCCTCCACCCGCGGTAGCGGCAGCAGCACCCCGCGGCCCAGATCCTCACCATGTACTCCACCCCGAACACCACGATGGTCACCACCTCCTGGAACAGGCGGGGAACCGAGGTTCTGCGTTACCCCCGACAACGGCAGCCTCTCACCGCCTCCCGTCGGCAGCGGTGGAGAAATTACTCATACAATGTACTTAAGTAAAAGTACAAATACACAGACAAAAATTTACTCAAGTAAAAGTCAAAGTACCACGTTATTATTTTACTTAAGTAAAAGTAAGTGTAACGAACGCAGTTACATGGGCATTTTTCCGTGTGAATTTTTTTGTTTTTTTTTTGTGAATATGAATATGTTTTACTTTTAATATCTATTTCATATCTTTGTGTATTTTCAATTAATATGTAAATACTTTTGAAAATGTTCTAACAATGTTATATAGAGATGTCGCCGATTGGCTTTTCACAAAATCACGTGATGCCTTTGCTGTGAGTTGTTTACAATTAGTCCGTGAGCCAGAGAAAGGGAAAAAGACGGAAAGAAATGGACTTCTAGCAACTCCTAACCTTCTGGTTGGAGGGGCATACGGTACGGACAATTTAGAAAATGTATATTTTGTTTAATAAGTTTAATTTGATAATTCATGTAGGTTTTATTGATGTATATTTTCCACCGTGTATTTTACAGTGTTCACGGTGGTCTTGGGCGAGCATTACGGCAAATCCGTTAATAAACGTTTCAAACCATCAGTTGGATGTCTGCACTTTCATAAACCAGTGAGAAAAAGTTGGGAGCAGCTATAGTAAGAAAGTACAAGCTTTTAAAACTACTTAAGTATTAAAAGTAAAAGTACTTGCCAACCATAACACCTAACGGCTTATATAATGTCATTAGGTGTACCTATCGTATTTAGTTTTAATAAATCAGTAATGTACCATTTTAATGAGCAATGCTGCAGATAAAGCATGTTTTTATTGTGTTTACCCCCTGTGACATTTTAGATTTAGATATTTTATGCAGGTCCTGGTACTGTGCTGCTCTTCTTGAGGGAGGGCCTAATGATTATTTCCCGCTTTGGATTGGTTCAGCGGACTGATTCTGCTCTCGCCATTGGATACTTTCAAACTAACGAACAAATCAAAAAACCGAAATGCGTCTTGGATGTAACGAGTAACGAAACGCTGTATAGAAATGTAGTGAAGTAGAAAGTACAGAGACTTACTGTTAAATGTAGTGGAGTAAAAGTAGAAAGTATCCATTATTAAATCTACTTAAGTAAAGTACAGATACACGGTAATTGTACTTAAGTACTTCCCACCACTGCCCGTCGGCTCACCAGGATGTAGAGGGCGTCCTCTGAGCTCTTCTCGTATTCTCTGATGGTGGAGAACACGGACAGAACCAGGCAGGAGAACACCAGCAGGAACCTGGACACGGAACATCAAACACATGAGAACCAGGCAGGAGAACACCAGCAGGAACCTGGACACGGAACATCAAACACATGAGAGGGTAGATACTCTCCAAGGTTCTCCTGAATAAAGGGGTTAGATAATCTCCTAGGTTCCCCTGAATAGAGGGGGCAGAACTTCTCCTAGGTTCTACTGATTAGAGGGGTAGGAGCCTATTCTAGGTTCTCCTGAATAGAGGGTAGATCCTCTCCAAGGTTCCTATGAGCATAGAGTGTATATCCTCTCCAAGGTTCTCCTGAATAGAGAAGGTATATCTTCTCCTAGGTTCTCCTGATTAGAGGAGGCATAGCCTATCCTAGGCTCCCCAGGATAGAGGAGGCATAGCCTATCCTAGGTTCCCCTGAATATAGCAGGTAGATCCTCTCCTAGGAACTTAGCTCTCCCTTTAAGGGGAGCTCAGAGTGACGGTATTTACACGTAGGCGTGGTAGATGAAGGCCCATCCTCGAGGTCTCTCCAGGACGTTGTACAGGAAGTTCTGCAGCCGCCTGTAGACGGCGTTCCGTTTGGGGGGCTTCTTCCCTCCGGAGACGCTGCTGCGCTGGCGCCTAGGACCTTCATCCCCACCTAGGAACAGGGACGAAAGGTTAGCTGGGTAGGGGTGGAACGGTTCACAAAATCCACGGTTCGGTTCGATTCAAGGTTTCTTGGTCACGGTTTTCGGTTCGGTTCGGTATATGTTGATGTTAGGAAAATCTATTATGTCTTGTATAGTCAGGTTCAAACTGAAAGAAAAAAGCAGTCTGACATTTTATACATTATTGTGACGGTCTGAGGTTAAAAGTAGGTGAGACTCTGGCATTGCCAGAGAGGAAACAGTGCTAATTCCAACATGTGCTTCCCTCTAAATGCAAACTGGTCCATACAGCAGACCTAGAAACTGCTGTTGGCACGTCGGATATTTATCGGCTACACTGCTTAGCTTCTTCTTCTTGTTTCCTACTGGTGGTTGGCTTTGGGCGCAGTAGCGCCCCCTTCTGCTCTGGAGTGTAAACGCTTCCCTCTGAGAAAAAGGAGAAGCATGAATCGAACGCAACACACGCGAACCGAACCGAGACAGAACCCAACGGTTCAGAAACCGTCCCATCCCTACTGCTGGGGTTTGGGGCTTTTTTAAGAGTTAAGAGGCTGGACCGAGACAAAACACACTCCTCTGAAAGTGCTACAAGGACTGAAAACGAGAGAAGCAAAACAATTGTCCACTGAAAATCTAACCCAGGAACACGGAACAAGGTAAGGGGTCACTGGTTACCCCCGGTTACCCCAGGTTACCACTGGTTAACCCCGGTTACTCCCGGTTACCCCTGGTTACCCCTGGTAACCCCCGGTTACCCCTGGTTACCACTGGTTACCACTTGTTAACCCCGGTTACCCCCGGTTACCCCCGGTTACCACTGTTAAAGACTCTTAAAGACCCCCCTCTCCACAAAGCATCTCCTATCCTGACTCTTACCTCTGGAAACCTCTACTCCTCTTTCTGTGCTTCCTTCTCTCTCTATTTGCTTCCACCACTGACTCTGACTGGGGATTTTCCTCTAGAATATTGATGATAGGTGTAAAATTGTGTCTACTTTGTAAGTTAAATAAATAAAAAAATGGATAAACGTGTCTAAATGCAGAAACAGAAACAGAAACATGAAGGAATGAGACAAAAGAGCTGGTCAGAACTCTTTTCTGTCTCCTCTGATTCTGACTGGGGATTTTCCTCAAGAGAACTGTTTGTTATAGCTGTAAAATTGTGTCTACTTTGTAAGTCGCTTTGGATAAAAGCGTCTAAATGCAGAAACAGGAACAGAAACATCAAGGAATGTGACAAAAGAGCTGGTCATAACTCTCCAGTTCTGAGAAATAAAACATAGAGAGCTCCCAGTTTTAGCAGCTGGAGTCTGGAGCATTCATCACTCTAACAGGAAAAGGGAGTCTGAGATCTATAGATGCATGATCAGGGTTTTTATTCAGAAAACTACTCTTTTTCCACCAACAACCGCGAGCCTCTGGCTCAGAAAAGGATTCTTTTCTCAGAATCAGAATCAGAATCAGAATATGGTTTAATGCCAAGTATGTTTTTGACTTACAAGGAATTTGCCTTGGAGTTTGGTGCAAAACACTTCTATGAGAAGCAACGAAATACAAAATATAGAACAAAAAATATAAAACTAAAAAGTACAATCTTTAAAAATATAGATCCGGCTCAGAAAATTATTCTATTCTCAGAATCAGAATCAGAATCAGAATAGGGTTTATTGCCAAGTAGGTTTTTGACTTACAAGGAATTTGCCTTCGAGTTTGGTGTACAACACTTCTATGAGAAGCAACGAAACACAATGTAGAAATAAAAAGATAGAACAAAAAATATTAAACTTAAAAAGTACAATCTTTAAAGATATACAGTGGGGGAGATAAGTATTTGACCCCTTGCTGATTTTGCAGGTTTGCCCACTTACAAAGAATGCAACGATCTATAACTTTAATCATATGTACATTCTAACAGTGAAAGACAGAATCCCAAAGAAAATTCCAGAAAATCACATCATATGAATTTATAAAAATTGATAACCATCTAATGAGGAAAAATAAGCATTCTTTGTAAGTGGGCAAACCTGCAAAATCAGCAAGGGCTCAAATACTTATTTCCCCCACTGTAGATCTGAGAATAGAAATATGGATCTCGGGGTTGGACGGTTCCTGGATCGGCTCAGACCTGGTCCCCAGACCTGGTCCCCACACTGCGACAGGCGCGTGCGCGTGCGCGCGCTTACCTGCGATGAGCAGCGCGCCGTCCCGGCTGGACTCGCTGCCCCCGGCCTCCAGGCCCACGAAGCCCACCTTCAGCTTCTTCTGGTCGGCCTGCGCCCCGGGGAAGACCCCGCCGTTGCGGGACTTCTGCACCATGACGGAAAACCGCCCCCCACCCCACGCGCGAGAGAGCTGCGCGCGCACACACCTACCGGGAGCCTGGGGCGCGCGCCCCGAGGCGGAGGCGCGAGGCCGCGAGCATCGATGCGGCGGAGGAGGATGTGGAGGAAAACCCGCACGCGCACGCGGAAACGCACGCGGACGCGGACGGGTTGATCAGCAGATTTTCCACAATGACGTCACCGATTCGAGGCCTCGTGAAAAACTACTCGAAAGGTCCAATGGGGAAGGGGGGAGAAAAAAAAACATGGCTTTGTTGTACCGCCGTGTCACCGCAGAGAGTGGGTACCAGAGACGGTAACCATGGTAACCGGAGGGAGGAGGCAGGTGGAGCCAAGCAACCAGCAGCAACTCAGCGAGGAGGAGAGCAGGAGAGGCTCTGATTGGCTGGCTGGTCTGCTGTATTATGCACGTTATTTGTTTTATTTACAGTGGGGGAAATAAGTATTTGAGCCCTTTGCTGATTTTGCAGGTTTGCCCACTTACAAAGAATGCTTATTTTTCCTCATCAGATGGTTATCAATTTTTATAAATTCATATGATGTGATTTTCTGGAATTTTCTTTGGGATTCTGTCTCTCACTGTTAGAATGTACATATGATTAAAGTTATAGATCATTGCATTCTATATATTTATATATATATATATATGCTGCCATTAGCTAGTGATGGCGAAATATAGCTTAATAAAATTGAATTCATCCCATTGGTTCAATCATGTGTTGAAGCTTCATGGGGCTTCGTTTTGACAATAAATAATAAATAATAAATGTAAACCGTAAACCGTACAGTGTGATGATAATAATGAGACTCTGGCTTTGGTGTCTGAAGCTTTTACGGAATAAGATGAAAATGGATGGATGGATGTTTGTGATGCTTGTAGATTACCTTTAATGCAATAACATACAATTTAATTTGTTGTTTCCATTTGCTGTATAAGTGACGTTGTAAAAATAACAAAGTGACGTCACACAGGACAGGAAATACGGGGACTCTGAGGACCTTTGGACACTTTTATTAGAGATAAGAGATAATGATGATGATAATGTCACCTCACATGGACATCATCACTATTTTATTTATTTATTTCTTTAATCAGGACAGTGCACATTAATGAACAATCTCATACAGATTTTAAATGAGCCAGATTATAGCATAGTTGCTAGTTTACATCTGTGGTCCTGAGGCAGGAAGACCAAACAACACAAAATCACAAAATACAAAATCAGTCCAAACACACGTTCACACAATGACATTACAAAATTAAAATTAATTAAATTCAATTCTATTTTATTTATATAGCGCCACATCACAACAACAGTTATCTTTCCAAACAGAGCAGGTCAGACCCTACTCTGAAGTTAACTACAGAATCCCAACAATTCCCACCATTCGTACTATGGCGTACCGTACGGCTGAAGATTGAAGTGATCGGCGTTGCCGTGGCGACGGGTCAGAGGTCCCGGAACAGGCCGGAGTAGAAGGCGGGCGCGGGCCCCGGGCGGCCGTAGCGCAGAAGCAGGGCGCCGATGGCGTGCTTCCTCTGGATGTGAGGAGGAGGGCAGCAGTCCCCGGCCAGACGCTGCCGCTGGCCACAGTTAGCCAACGTTTCCCTGACCAGGAAGCCTG